TAACAAAAATATGAAAGATGTCTTTGAAAAATCTGCAAAAGAATTACTATAATAGCAAATTAAAGGAACTAAACCCAGACCGGATTCTGATTCTAAAATAAACTTATTTGATGATAATTTATATATATCTGGACAGTTTGGCAAATGCTAGGAGACTCGTTATTTTAAGTGTAAATATCGGTAGACATATTCACATATACAAAACACATATACAAAACACAAAACTAAAATCATCTTTAAGCTATTTACCACGTTATCAGAGATTTAACTACTTTAAAAAAAAAAAAAAAAAAAAAAAAAAAAAAAAAAAAAAAAGAACGCTTTACACTGCACACTGAAGACTTCAATTTAGTGTGTTTTATGCAGTTAGAATTAGTTCGAAAAACTCATCACAAAAAAAAAAAAAAAACAACGTAAACAAAATTCGGACCCCAATGGTATGATGATAATAAAAGGGTGCTGTTATGTTGGGGGGGGGGGGGAGGGGGCTAAGTTCAAACAAGTGTTGTGACACAGACACGCTCCATGTCAACAAGTTTCCTTTTAAAAACTAGTTTAATAACATCATATATATCCTGTTTATAGTTCTTGGTTTCCACAAGCAATTCTTACATTTATTTAGTAAGGCAATAGAATCAGTGTTACCCTTTTAAAGTTACATAATGAGTTAAAATCATGTGTTTCTTATAAGATAGATTATAAGATAATTGTATCATAAAACAAAGATTAATGTGCATGAAATATGAATAAAGCGAAGTTTTGACTACGCAACTGCACTGTAAAGCAAGAAAAGAACTGCAAAATGCAAGTGCCGGAAAAGGAAAGGTTGTATCTATCGCTTAGTTGTTATCGTCAATGTCAACAATGTCAAGGTCACGTGACTTTTCTTCTTAGCGTGAAACTTGTAAACAATATTGAATTGCAGCAAGCAAAAGTGAGAAATAAGTTCTGATCTTCTTTATTGAAGATTGTATCAAAATCCTCGGTCAGCTGACAATTATATCTATGGAATTGACACCATGGTAAATTCTTCAACTTTTTAAACTGCACATGCGTACAATAAAGAGGAAGAATTGAAGCAATATTTTTGTGTTGGGCAAACAAAAATTATTTTTGCTTTTATTTTTCTCCAAAAAAGTAGATTTTTTAGGTTTTGAAACTTTTAATTTTATTGAAACCTAATATCTTCAAGAATTGAACAAAATTTGCATGTGTCATGCAAAAATTTTGCTTTTGTCAATTTTCCCCTTTTACTGTGTCTCTTTCGCCATACAAAAAAATAATCAAAAAATAAAATTTTACTTAAAAAAATCAATTTCGTTAAGGAAGCTCTTTCATAAAGAAAAATGTATTTTGGACTTTCCGAAAAAATTTATCTTTTAAAAATGTATAAAATAATTAAGTTCATCAGTTAATTACGTATTAACAAATTGAAGGATACCTGCCATATTTCCCCAGGAAAATGTGCAAAAACAATGAAGTATTCGTATACAGAAATCACGATTTTTGTTTGTTTGTTTGTCTGTTTGTATTTTTTTTTTTTAATTTTCAATTACTTTATCTTGGTCTTGTAAAATGTAATGAATACTTGAATCATTTCAAAATTGTGCCATTTACTGTAGATTTACCTCTTTTGTAGTGGACTTTGTTGTGGTCAGCTCCGGTCGATCACAGATGATTCCATGTGATACATCAAATCACAATATAAATGTAACCATTTGCGCGCACATGACGCGATGGACTTCTATGTGAACTATTCACTAACAGCTGCAAAATCTATCATAACATGTTAAGAACTAACAAGTTTTTTCTTAGTGCATTTACATGTTATGTAAGATGCAAATGTTCATACAAATACATGGTAAACTCTTTATATGCGCAAGAAATTCATTCACTTCGGAAAATGGAAGTTCGCCCTTTCCCTTTAGAGTGAAATATGAAGATAACGATCAGTAATCAAAGGAATAATACAGATTTGGAGCATAGCAAATACAGGCCTCTAAAAACATCAGAGGTGGGATCATGTGCCATGGAGGAGCAAGCATTCCCTTTCGACCGGGTACAACCGTCGCTTGCTCATTGTCATGATCACGAAACGGAAAATTCCGTAGACAATTCAGAGTGAAAAATAATGGCCTAACAATTTGTATGAAAAACTTCAGTCATGCATCATTAGACTTTACGATAGACTGTATTTGCTAACAAGGTCATTGTATCGACCATAGAATTTGCGAAATATTGACTTTAAATGGGACTGTTGATATCCATGTATCATCACTTCATCTGTTTATTGTCTGACGTCATGGCGTCAGACAGTACTAGATTTAGCCACGGCTTATTGGTCAAGTCGTTCAATAAAATTATTGTGATAACTCGATCTTCGAAACTTCATTCTATCTTAACCATGGGGATTAATGAAAACATGCTAAATACCCAAACAAGCCAAAGCATTGCGCCTAATTATTATCACATTATACATTACACGTTACATATCATTTGGTAATTCTTTATTCATCTACATCCAGCAAAGCTATTCAGGTCAAAACTATCAGATTAACTAATAGATGTTTATTTTAAATGCATACAGTCTTTCTACCTTTAGAATTACACATATTCCTTACTTTGCAGACGTTTGATTTAGTCATAGTTAAAAACTTCAAGAGAAAGATGATGGTAGATGATTAACTTTTTTATGTGTATATAGAAAGATGTACTTAGCTCATTTATAACAAGTTTATTACAATGTATTTTAAAAAAGAAATCATAATTCTCCCAACTGTTCACCAAATAATGTTAAGATTGTAATAGTGATGTAACTTTTTCTTTTAAAAGCACTGGTTTCATCTAGTATCTAGAAAAAGCCAATCAGAAGAAATGTCACGGGGAAGGGGTGCACAACCAAAAATTTCGGAGGGAGGGGGGATGTGCACTATCAAGGAAATTCTTTTTATCAAGGAATTTTTCTTTATCAATCAAAAAAGTAAATATAAATATGTTATTGTTTACATGACCTTTGGGACACAAGCATAAATTAAGTAGCTATGTTTTCTATTGCATATAATTATATATCGGCAAAATATGGGGGGTCCCTCTTCTTCATGGTTCCTATGGCAATGAAAAAAAAAAGAAATTACAAGTAATACAGTATAAGTCTATATATAAATAAATTCATATATCCGAGTTTTATTTCATGTTGATACAACTGGATTGAACTTTTCTTGATTATTAGCAGAATAATTTATTTCTGGACTCAGAATTACACTGAATTCAACTTTTCTTAGATCTTCATATAATAATAAATTTTGCTCACGTCAGACAAGCTTTTTAAGAAAGCTAATACTTGTAGCTTGCCTCGTTTTAGAAAATGTTTGTAGAGCATGCTCTGCAAAGTTTTATCGTTCACTAGTGTTTCGAGGATGTTTAACTCGGACAATAGTTTATTCGTTTATCATGTAATTGACTGTCCTGTAGATTCTAGTTTGACATCTGCAGGGAGCCGTTTCTGAAAAAGGTCTATGACTAGGCGTAAGCTTAGTCCGGACTAAATCATGGACTAAACCTGAAAATCGGAAAGTTGCGTTTCACAAAAAGGCGGATATTTAGGTCGAGATTAAATTTTGGCTTAAATCTTAGCCTCCTCAGTAGGCCTATGTTCTTAGTCTTTACATAATCATAAAAAGTGCAAGGTCTTGTTATCATTAAGAATTAAAAGAAAAGTATTATATAATGAAGACGATAATACCTACGATATGCCAAAAATCGTGATATATTCATGTAGGTAAATGGAAAGGTTTAAAAATAGCTAGCGACAGTGTAGACATTTATTTCATAAAATGGGCGTTTTCAAAATAAAAGAAGTAATTAGTAGATATTGAAACTTAATTTTCACTAAGATTTAACCTTTTCAACCCTTTATACAGAATTGATTGTGCTTATGGAAATAATGCATATTTCTGCATCGTCTGCGTCGGAGACAATATTCACCTACCTCCTTGCACACGTATTGTATAGACTTTACATAAAAGAGCAGATCACTCCAAGCTGCATAAAAATCCGTGCCTCGTGTCAACCAGCAAGTGCTTTGCTAATGAATGATTCCGATGACAAGAGATTCTGAAGGACTCATGACTATAGACAGACCACTCAGTAAATTAACATAATTATTTTAGTCAGACTTATTAACGTCTGTGATTTGCATAGTCAGAAGGGTGAAATGCACCGAAGTCATATATTTACATACGATCTCTGATTCTGTTTTAGAGAGTATTCATGTAAGCTCTTTCACAAACAGACGAACTGACAGATACACTGACACAGAGTCCACAAACAGACGAACTGACAGACACACTGGCACAGTGTTCATAAACAGACGAACCGACAGACACAGTGTCCACAAACAGACGGACTGACAGACACGGTATTCCCTTAATTATGTTTACCATGCCACACAAGAAACAACAACACTGCAAACTAAACTAATAAAAAAAATAATAAAACCTAATATATGTAATTAAGATATATATGTTTTTTCTTCACCAATTTTATGAATCTGATAATGAAATGAATTAGTCTTCAAGTTGCAGGACAGCAAATAACCCTGTTGTTACTTTCAAAGACTATACATATTTGTTGATCAGCATAATTACAGATATTAATGGACGAACATCAGTACTAATATTGTTAACCTTTAGAAAAAAGCACATTTCATAAAAATTATCCAAAAGTAATTTGATCCAAAATTAGATAAATATTCTTCTGCATTTCAATTATGGAAAACCCTCAAAGGTCTTCAGAAAGATAGACTATCATATAGCGATCTTAATGCCCTGTTAGGGAATTCAAACGTACATTACCATCGTACATGAAATTAAGAACGTATATTTTGAGTTAGAAAATGCCAACAAATATCATATCATAGCGAAATGATCTATGATTAGTTTCATTTTGTTTGACTTGATGTAGAAAACAACAATTAATTTTTCTTTTTTCCAATATTTCAGAAACCATGGAGACAAAAACACTGTTAATTTGGGTTTTAGCTGCATTTTTGGCTTTGATTGAAGTATCAAATGGATCAACAGAATCAAAACTCAGTGAGTATACAAATGATATTTAAGCCATTAATCCCAACTTTATTGATGATCAAAACTCATTTATAATACCCCTAGCCCTCTCTCTTAAAATAATTGATATGGAAGATAACACAACTAGTAGAAGGAAACCGTAGTATTTAAAATAGAAATGAATATTTCAGGTCACGAGGATTCAGAGGTAAAGTCAATAAAAAGACGATCCGATCCCATGGATGACATCACAGACTCGTACGAGTTTTCAAATGAAGATTTAAATGAACTTGTTAAAAAGGGTTCGCTTTTTCGGTTTGGAAAACGAGGTGGGTTGTTTAGATTTGGGAAGAGGGGCGAAGACGAAAAGAGAGGCTCGTTGTTTAGATTTGGAAAACGTACGGACGGTTATTACGTTTCACCGTACGGAAGCAGTGAAAGAATTCCAGATAGAGAGGATAAAAGGGGGAGTCTTTTCCGGTTTGGCAAACGGTCATCTTTGTTCAGGTTCGGTAGAAGTGTCGACAATGAGAAACCACATATGCCATTTCGTTTCGGACGTCAGGAAGAGGATGAAATTTAATTGGAATATGTGAACATAACATCGTTCTCTCTAAAGTATATGTAATATTAATAACAAATGCAACATTGTATTTCATATGGTTTGTAATCATCGTATAGAATGAAAGTGTTTATCATTAGATTTGAAATCTCATTTATAAAAACAATTCCATTCTATGAGTGATATCAAGTACCTATCGCAATCATAAAGTCATGTAAAATTTGAATTATTTCAATCTTTTGGAAAATTAGTACTGTATATTTTAATTAGTATTTCAGTGATGGAGGAGGTAAATAAAAGGAAGTGAAATGGTGATAATTGCAATTTGTTATTTTATTTTCTGATGTGTAACAAATGAAAAAAACATAATTAATATGTATACGAACTAGTCAAAAATAATGAACATCTGTTCCCATAAAATTTTTATCATTTTACATTTGCACGTATTTTGCTTAAAAACGTAGAACATTGATTAAATTGCATTTGAATTGAAGAATTACATACGCCGGATAAAAACAGGAACAAGGGTCTCTTTTTAATCATTTTAAGCTCAACGTCATAGTACTTTATTTAGGATTAGAATGATTTTCAACAAGTTATATTGTAGAGAACCATAAAGATATGAAACCTTCCGAGTTTCATTTAACTGAAGATGTTGTCAATGATGCCCTAAAGCCTAGTTTTTAAATTATCGCGAAAAATTATTGCATACATTGTTTAAAAGTCGTGCGTCTCGATGCTATTGATTTTGAATTAAAATGAAATTTCAGACTTAATAAAAGTTCTTTGGAACTTTTAAGCATCCATATTTTCACCACTACTTAATTATGTTGTAGAAGAATGGGTCTAAGGTTTTTCCTTTACAGCAGTTAATAATTTTGGAGGAATAAAGATAGGGTTTGATAGAACGTTCACTAGTCCCTGCAGTGTACCTTTATTAAAAATTGTACAAAGTTTTGAAACCCAGTTTAGCATGGTAACTCAAATTACCGTTGACTGGGATGTTAAAAGTATTAAAGAATCGAACGTTATGTTAAATAACTACATTCTTTCCGGACTACGGATTTTTCCGTTTGCTCGATCATTAATAGAGCACATGGCGGGTGTGATCGGTCGACAGGGGATGCTTACTCCTCTATGGCACCTGATCCCATCTCTGGCGTTTTTAGAGGTCCGTGTTTGCTCTGCTTACAATTTGTATTGTTTAAATGGATTTTTTACAATCCCAGTACCATCTACAGAGTCTCTGAACTGTACATATTATTATAAAACAAAATTATGCAATGTGACCTGGTATTAAAATGAGGGCTAGAAATTCTTTATAAATACTTTTTTAAAAAAATTATCAAGATGTCAAAATATTATTTTCATGAATATTTCTTGCGTTTTAATGCACCAATGATCAAATTTTAATGTGACTAATAAAGTGGCTTTGTTAAGTGGTTTGAAAGAAAGAGTACATGTATATGCTTAGTGGACCCCGATGGAGTAAAATAGACAATCAAAAGAGCCTAATACGTGTTTATTATGCAGCTTTGTTTTTTTATTGTCCTCATAAAAGTTTGCCCGGAACACAAATATGGGCATTGGAAACGATAATGTTCAAATGAATATTTCATGTCAAAGAAGGCATAGAATATCTGCCAAAATAAGAGAGTCGTTGGGGGAAATATCGCAAATTCTTTTTCCTTATTAAAGATATTCCTTATGGTTATTATATTTATTCTGAACCAGAATTTATTCAAAACATCTACATGAAAAGAATAAATATCTTCCTGTGGTTTTTTATTAGACATTAAGATTTACCGATGACATTTTATCTATTAACAAAATTCATTTTCATTCCTTCATTTCTTCATTCAGATGTGGATACTTAAAAATTCCAAGGAACTTTTGGAAAATTTGAAATCACAAGATTTTACCAAAATCAACAGCTTAAAAACTTACGACTTTTCAACTTTGTACACCACCATTCCCCACGATAAATTAAAGTCCAGGCTTTTTGATATCATTGACAGCTGCTCTTTCAATAAAAATGGAACTCGTAAATATACTTACCTTGTCATTGGTCATTTGCAAAATTATTTTGTTAAAAAAACATTCTGATTGTTCACACAAGTACTCTAAAGTTGACATTAATAAGATGCTTGAGTTTCTGATTGACAATATCTATGTGGTTTTTAGAGACCAGGTCTTCCAACAATCTATTGGAATTCCCATGGGTACCAATTGCGCCCCGTTATTAGCAGACCTTTTTTTGTATTCATATGAAGCAGAATTTGTCCAAAATCTTGTACGTGAAAAGAAGAAAACACTTGCTGTGGCCTTCAACTCGACATTTAGATATATCGACGACGTATTGTCAATTAACAATGGCTATTTCCATTCTTATGTCGATACGATATATCCTTGTGAGCTTGAGATAAAAGATACCACAGAGTCTGACACATCTGTTTCATATTTGGATATTTTACTTGAAAAAGACGTTAATGGTAATCTAACAACCAAGCTTTATCATAAACGTGATGACTTTAACTTTTCAATCGTCAACTTCCCTTACTTATGCAGCAATATACCTTCATCACCTGCATACGGGGTATATATCTCTCAGTTGATTCGATACGCAAGAGCATGCTCTACGTATGTACAATTTCTAAAACGAGTTAAATTATTGACAAATAAGTTGATGAAACAAGAATATCAGCTGTCTCGTTTAAAGTCATCATTTCGTAAGTTCTATGGTCGATACAATGACCTTGTCAGCAAATACAATTTATCATTGAGTCAAATGCTGACTGACGATTTTCACACTAATTGTTAGGCCATTATTTACACACTGAATTGTCGACGGATTTTTCCGTTATTTCCCGATCATGACAAGAAGCACACGGCGGGTGTGACCGGTCGGCAGGGGATGCTCACTCCTCCATGGCACCTGATCCCACCTCTGATGTTTGGAGGTCCGACGCCGACTCAATAGGAAGGAGATTTAAATATACTGAATTAAAATATCTTATCGCTTAAATGTCAAATATTTACAGAGTTATATTTCAGTTCTACCGATTTTAACAATAAATATTTACAGCTGAATCAATTTAGAGCTAAGGTTTTAAAAGGTAACTTTCTTTTTGTGCCTTTTTGACAATTTTGTTACATTTACCATTAAATATTCCCAATTACTATTAATCCTTTTTTTGGAATTTGGCGTAATTACCCAGGACTTTTTCCCCCTGAATATTCCATTTTCGCGTATATTTGTATTATTAAGATTTATATTTAACAGTACCAAAAATTCATGAAAATTTATATTTTCAATAAACACACACACACACAAAAATATCGAGAAAAAAGTTGCCAGATTTTGGTGGTCTACTGTACTTTGTATTGCTCAGTCTTCTAGCTCTTATTCATCATCCAATGCTTAATTTTGAGACAGCAAGTGTTTTTTTTAAACTTGCACTGAGCACTTTTAAAGTAGCGATGATTATTTGACAAGTACATGTAGTATGAGGGGCGATATGAAAACCATCTATCCTTCTGTCTTCAATAATTCAGAAGTTTAAAAAGAATTAGAAATTTTACACGACGAATATGTTCTTGTCCCAGCTGACAAAGCAGGTAACAACATTGTCCTTGTTCGTAAGGCTCGTTATTTTGATTGTACTTTAGAGGTGCTTGGATTTAATTCCTTTAGTGGTAATTCAACTTATACCTAAAGCTCCCTTTCTAAGGAGAAATTCTTCAAAATCATATGTCAGTTTAAAATATTTTTAATATTCTCAACAATCAAATTGAAATCAAATAAACATACTTATACTGGATTCCTAAACCACATGAAAAATTCCTTACATACAAAGATACAAACGAGACTGTTGATATCTTTGGTTCATCAACTCGTTTGTCAATAGCTTGCCTCGTTTCAGAAATTGTTTGTACGTAGATGAAGCACTTTTGTATCGAATCAGTTGGGAGACATAAACTTCATATACCGGTGAAAAGGAAAATTGACGATAGAAAAGCTGAAGTCATCACCTTTTTCATAAAATTTGTATCAAACGAAACTCAAAATAAAAGGCAATACAGAGTCTCTAACATTTGGATATTTTACTAGTCATAGACATTAATTGCAAACTAGCAACTAAACTTTATGATACATGTAGTAACTTCAACTTCTCAGTCTTCATCTTCCCTTACTTTTATAGCACTATAACACTATATTAACATTATTATTTACATATGTTGTTTACATCACTTGCTTGATTCCATGCACAAGAGAATGTTCTATGTACTATTAATTCCTAAACCGAGACACACTACTGAACAAATGAGTTGATGTTACAGGAATATATATAATTTCCTTAAAAGGCAATATTTTATAGATTCTTCGGTCGTTACAAAAAAACCTGTAGCAAGGTAAAATATTGACTAATGTTTTCAATACCCATTGTTTGGCCATCGTTTTCCTTTTTATTTATTTACTGATTACCGAAATATGGCCGAAATACGACCAAATCGGCATCCAGTCAATAAATCTACTGGTTACTGCTTTATCAAGACAAGGATGAGACCGGACGACAAGAGATGCTTACTTCTTAAGTTGTTTCATGTAAAAGCTCGATTTTGTTTTCTTTTTGGACAATATCAATATTGTTGGCTTCTATATAAAATAAATCATATTGCACAATTCAATTATAAAATGCTTGTCTTTTCCAACGCAATCATGTGCACTGTGGTCTATTCGCAGAATCTGCATGCTCTGTAATAGGATTCCGTATCTTTATAAATAGATTTGATATACGATGAATTTAACAAACAACTTCACTGCACTTGAACAAAAAATATTCTGTCATTTTTATACACCAAGGACATTTTATCAGCTTTAAAAGTCAGGATAATGTGGCATAGGATGTATTGGTAAATCTGATACAGTCAAAACTCCATTCAAACAATACAAATCAGGAGTAGAGCAATCACGGACCTCTGAAACATCAGATGTGGACACTTTAAAATTCCAAGGAACTTTTAGAAAATTATTTGAAATCACAAAATTTTACCAAAATCAAAAACATTAAAAGGTACGACTTTTCGACATTTTATACATCTATTCCCCACTAACAATTAAAATCCAGGCTTTTTGGCATCATTGACAGCTGCTTTTTCAATAAAAATGGAACTTGTAAATTTACTTACCTTGTTATTGGTCATTTGCAAAACTATTCGGATTAAAACCATTCTGATTATGCACACATGTACTCTGAGGTTGATATTAAAAGATGCATGAATTTCTTACTGAGAATATCCATGTAGTTTATAGAGCT